CCTACGCCGACGGCCAGAGGCCCGCGCATCTACATTTTTTCGCCTGACCCCATCAGTGCCGACCCAACTACACCACCACGCGCATGCCTCGCGGCGGATATGCGCAGCAGCAAGAAGGTTTCGGTCATCCCTTGAGGGTGAGTCTAGCCCTGCTCGCCAGAAAGACCCCCCCCTTCGCTACAACGACCCATGTCTAAGCAAAAGCTTGTCGAGGAGCGAGGGGAAGAAGGGAGAGTAGATATATTTATTTCTGGAATCAATCGCGGTAAAATACTTCAAGCAACATAATAATAAATGCGCCTCCAACAGGCCCTCCCTGCTGCTGTATGTAGTAGTAGCAGTGTCAAACCCATCAGAACAACAAATCAACTGCTGTCAGTGCCTCTAGAATCATGGACACATTCCATCCCCCCCCATAATTAATTGTCGATGCAACGAAAAATAGCAATAAATTTCAATTAAAACAATCAACAGCCATAATACATAGCAGTGCGGGCTACTACTAGCTAGGTAGGCTATTATTATTGCTGTCAAATGGAACACCGCTGGCATACCACGTAATGGTCACTGAACCAAACAGCATGGTTGCCCTGTTTTCTGCACCAAACCGCACAAACGTCAAGAAAAAATTCAAGCCAAAGCCATGCCACACATTCAATTCCAACAGAAACAAAAATACCCCGAGACAATAATACTTATTACTTGTAGTAACTTCCGTAGAATTCACCTGAAAATAAATGCAGTACCAAACGAAACAGAAAAATAATAACAGCAGCAAATAAGAAAGCGCCTCGAATACGATACAGTAGGGGGCCCTCTATAGTGCCGGCATGTGTTCAGAGAGCAAAGCGGCACTATACCGGGCACCGGCACTATTCAGAGTACAGAAAGACTTGATATTCCGGTGTTGTTGTTGTTGTTGTTTCTCACATTAGCTCTATCTAGGTGTGTGCGAGCCGAAAACACCGGCACTATACCGGCAACCGGCACTATTCAACCGGCACTATATCGGGCCACCCACTGTATATCGGACTCATATCCAAGACACCACTATAAACACACACCACGGGCAAAACAGCGTACTCGCGTACTCCCGTACTACCACTCTCCGCGCCTTCTATTGTACTTGATTGAGAAGGGCAGCTAGCTGCTGCGGCAATGCGATCGCTGAAGCTCGACTCCTGCCTCTCTGGTCCATACACGCACGCAGAATAGAAAACGCTCGCTCCATGAAGAAGGCAGAGGATGGCTGAATCAGTGATGTGCGGTGNCACTATACCGGGCACCGGCACTATTCAGAGTACAGAAAGACTTGATATTCCGGTGTTGTTGTTGTTGTTGTTTCTCACATTAGCTCTATCTAGGTGTGTGCGAGCCGAAAACACCGGCACTATACCGGCAACCGGCACTATTCAACCGGCACTATATCGGGCCACCCACTGTATATCGGACTCATATCCAAGACACCACTATAAACACACACCACGGGCAAAACAGCGTACTCGCGTACTCCCGTACTACCACTCTCCGCGCCTTCTATTGTACTTGATTGAGAAGGGCAGCTAGCTGCTGCGGCAATGCGATCGCTGAAGCTCGACTCCTGCCTCTCTGGTCCATACACGCACGCAGAATAGAAAACGCTCGCTCCATGAAGAAGGCAGAGGATGGCTGAATCAGTGATGTGCGGTGTGTCCTGTGTTGTTCCTGTGGTCCTGGTCTTCGGTCTTCGTACTTTGCGTCTTTTCTCTCCTCTCTTCTTGTACAAAGGTCAAGTAGTCTGAATCAACAGTCATTCATCAAGGTTGGTTTAAACAACGGATGTCTTTAATTGACACCGAATCTCCATCTATCTCCAGATCTACAATTTGTTGCCTGATCTGTGAACTTGAAACTAAAGAGTTAAGAGACCAAGAGGCTTTGAAGGGGATCAACAAGCTCTGTTTTGGTTACAATGAGCTGTCTGAGCGTCTGAGCCACCCCTTACCCCCATCTCACTCGTGCATAATCACCGCTATGCACGACAACCCCTGTTATTGTTTTTTTGTTTGTTCGTCTTCACATTAAACCGTATGTCAGTTGCTAAATGCCAAAATCTAGCAAAAGACTCTCAGCCCGTGGTCACGAAAGTGCTAGAGCCATCTGAGGATCTAAAGAACACGCACACATCTGACGAGAAAAAGGTATGCAAGAGCCCGAAGAGGTACACCTAAAAATCCCTGCAGCACCGTATGCGTGCCCAAAAACTGAACTGCACGTCCGTCCCACCGTTCGACTACAGTAGCATCACCCCCTCCCTGTCCCACTCTATACCAAAACGGAAGATTGCCGACTACAGCATAATGCTGTCTGAAGTGCTGTCTGTACAAAAACACCATGGTAGGCATGGAACAAGAAGCTGGCGGGGCACAAAGCTGCTGTCTGAAGTGCTGTCAGAATGTGTCTGCGG